TGATGATGATGGAAACGATGATGAAAATGATGACGTAGAAATGGGTTATCTGGTTACATAACTCTTACAAAACATTTTTGGCTTATGCTCTACCTCAACTACCATTCATGTGTCGAGAACCCTTTAAATATTTTTGGCACAACTTAATTAAATTCAAACACAAGTTTGTTGAGTTAGAACATCTTAAAGAAGAAATAGAGAAAGAAAATGTAAAGAAACCCCGAAGACTAAAAACTCCTACCTCTCAACTACCAAAAAACGTTGAAAAATTCGATTTTTCTGAGTTCGAAAAAGAACAAACAATCTGACTAAACATCCTATATTATGAGAAATTAAGAGACCATACAAATAATTTCATATGGCCGAACTCATAACCTACCTAAACTCAATCGAAAAACAAAGAAAGGAACTTAACAATTCAAAGGACTTCCCTTTTAACATTTCTTTACATGATAACGGGTTTGCACTTGGAGCAGATAAATTTAAAGACCTATACGCAGAGGGACTATTAATAATAACCAACATACTAAAAAAGCAAGAGCTAATTCGACAAAACAAAATTAAAAGAAACAAAGAACCTGTCGACCCTACCCTAGGAGCTGTAATAAATGAAAGGATTAGAGCTCAAATCACATCCTACATGAGAAAAAATAATATAAATACTACAGCAGACTTAGAGAAAAAACAAAGAAAACAATCTCACTCTCAATCACGCTCTCGCTCTCGCTCCCGCTCCCGCTTCCGTCAAAGATCTCGCTCTCAACAACGTTCTCAATCCAAACCCAAAAAGCCAAAAAACAAAAATAATAACAATAATAATAAAAACAATAATAACAATAATAATAAGAAAAAAGTAACCAAATCACATCAAAACCACAGCTTTAACCAATGTCGCAATAAGAGTTCACATTTTCAAAAAGCCGCGTCCGCCACGCGGCGAACTCAAAACCAAACCTCAACTTCATCATCGACCTCTCGCTCACAGTCAACAACCTCCAGGACATCTTCGCGCGGCCGCTCTCAATCACGAAACAATTCATCACGCCGCAATTCCACAACCCGTGGAAGGTCCAAATTTCGACGTTAGAGTGTCGAATTTTAAATTA